AAAGTTGGTATAATTCTTTCAGGAATAGGTATGGTCCTTTCAGGAACAGTGGGAGATACAGGTTCTGAGAAAGTAGGAACAGGGAGAACTTCTGTGATTTCAATGGGTTCCCCTAAAAAATCAGACTCAACGGAGTTGGATGAGAAAAAGGGTGTTGTTTCAAAAAATGTAACATCGAAGGAGGTATAAAAACGGTGTGTTTTAGGACAGTAACACTTAAAGCCTTTTTGGAGGCGAGAATATCCAAGAAAAACACACTTTATTGCCTTGGCATCAAGTTTATCACGTCTTGGAGAAGTATCATGAACAAAGCAAGTACACCCAAAAATTCGCAACGGGAGCTTATGGAGAGGTTCCTGTGGGAGCAAGATATGAAGAGGAATTTTTCTTTGTAAAACAGAAGAAGGCATTCTATTTATGAGATAACATGAGTGAAGTATAGCATGCCCCCAGAAATTCTTAGGAACCTTATTATGAATAAGCAAGGTACGAGCTGTTTCAACAAGATGACGAATTTTTCGTTCAGCGACTCCATTTTGTTGAGGAGTTCTAGCACATGAAGATTCATGAAGTATTCCATGTGAGGAAAAGAAAGATGTGAAAGGGTCAGAAAAATACTCTCTTGCATTATCACTCCGTAAGATTTTGAGAGATGCCCCAAATTGATTCACAATTTCATTGTAGAATTTTTGAAACACATTGAATAACTCAAAACGGTTTTTTATTAAAAAGACCCAAGTGCACCGAGAAAAATCATCAATGAAGACAACAAAATATGAGAAACCCAAAGTGGATGAAACTCGACATGGTCCCCAAACATCGGAGTGAACTAAAGAAAATGGGGTATTGGCCCTCCTATTCACTCTACTAGGATATGAGGCTCTTGAGTGTTTCCCAAGTTGACATGATTCACACTCTATGGTTTTTAAATTTGACAAACCAGGAACAAGTTGTTTTAATTTATTCAGATCAGGGTGTCCTAAGCGACAATGGTTAAGGAGATGTGAAGTAGTAGCAGTGCAAGCTATTTTGGTATTGGTAGAACAAAAAAGGTGATAGAGACCTCGTGATTCATATCCTTTACCAATTGTTTCCTTTGTTTGACGATCTTGAATGATCACAGAATCAGAAGAAAAGGTAACAAGGCATTTAAGAGACTGGGTAAGTTGATTAATTGAAATCAAATTGAAGGGACACCCGGGAATGTAAAGAACATTGGATAAAGATAAAGAATGAATAGTAACTTTTCCAATTCCTATAGCCTTTCCTTTTGACCCATCGCCAAAAGTGACAGCAGGAAGAGAGTCTGAGAAATCAATATGGGAGAAAAAAGAAAGGTTACCAGATATGTGATCAGTTGCTCCAGAATCCAAGACCCAAACTGAGTCTGACTTTAATGCAAGAGCATGAGTCTGATTTTTGGTGACCCAGGCAGACTTCCCGGCTGGTACACTGCTGGAAATTCTATGTTCTGCCATAGTTGTCATAAAAATATGAGAAAAACACCGTAGTGTTGCAGGAACAAGGCGAGATGATCTGGAAATTTTGGCCAGAAAAAGCTGCTGGAAAAGGCCGGAAAAAGCTGCCAGAAAAGGCAGCCACCGTGACCGGAAAAGAGTGAGCAGTGTCGCCGGAGCTTCTTTTGAAGGAATGTGGCACCAAATCAGTGAATAAAGCTCTTAGTTTGAGATAGTGTAGAAAAGTGATGATGAACACTGTTTTTCACGGTGAGTTCATCTGGAAATTTTCAGGCCCTTCAAACTTGGCTCTGATACCATGTTGAAAGGTAAACTAAAAGGAACCTGAACTATCTTCTTGTTATTCCATCTTCGAAAGAACAACACATTACAAGACATTATATAGGAAGATAACAAGTATTGGGAAGGGACATAAAAGGTCTGAAACTATTCCACTCCCCAAAGACTTAAAAGCATAATAAAAGCATAATAATAAGAGTAGGCTGCTCATATTCTAACAGTGCTCATATTCCAACACTTTTCAATCTTTTTCAACTCATGTTGTATGTTGTTTTTGCATTCAGATAAGCGCTTGGCAACTACAACAATTGACAGTGGCAATCCTTCACATATTTCCACAACATGGAACAAGTCACTCCTGAATTTTCCAAAACTTGGTGCCATATACCTTTGAAGAGGAAAGATAGTACAGAATAGATCCCAACTTTCATTTGGATCTAGTAAACTCATTACATGATGTGTACCTTTGATTGTGCAAGCATAGTCAGTGACTCCATAAAATCTAGTGGTCAGCAATATGCAACTTCCATTCACTGTAGAATTGCAAAATAAGTATTCTAAAACATCCCATTGCTGAGGCTCCATATGTCATCCAAAACAATTAGATACGGCTTTTCCTTCAAGCATTCACGAACCTGCTCCCGAAGATGGGCTTCCTTTATAATTTCATGATTTGGTGAAATTGACTGGACAAGGTCGCGTAGCACTTTGGTCTCATTGTAATTTTGAGTCACTGTAACCCATCCTCGTACCTCGAAATTGAATGCAACTGATTGATCTTCCAAGATTTTTCTTGCTAAAGTAGTCTTCCCTATGCCTGGCATCCCAATAATTGGGATTACTTTTACACCTTTAAAGCTACTGAAGAGTCGACTCTTTATCATACTAACGTCATTTTGACGACCCACCATTATTCTGCCCTCCTCAAGCTTTGGATAGCATACAGACTGAGTATCATTGGCCTCATCATCAGCAGCAACTTCATTGCTTGTGTTGTGGATAGTGCTCAACAGTTGGGCTGCGTTTTTTGTTACTTGATGCAAGGTTTGAAAGAGTTGTTGTGAAGCTTCTTTTGGTAGGTGGTGCTCTTCTTTGGCCACACAAAAGTTTCTAAATTGTTTTTCGATGTCTTCTTTAGCTTTGAGTACAAAGCGTCTGATTCGGATTCCAGCTCCGGATCCACCAAACTTGGATTTCAGTACAAATTCTTGCATAGCAAAGAGACTTTGATGGAGAGATTCTAGTGTGGTTTAAACGTCGTTGTCAAGCACCCGTGAGCTGGGTGTGGTCAAAGACGACCTAAGATAATCATCATCCATTAATCTTCTCAAGAGAAGAGCTAAATCGTCACAACATTCAAAAGTCTTCTGTCTGTCCTCCAGCTCTACCGTCTTTTCTTCTACTTGTTGCAAGGTTTGACACAGTTCCTGAAAAGCTTCTTCTTCATGTACTGTGTCTTTGGCCAGAAGAAAAGTGCTGAGTTGTATCTTGATGTCATCTCCAACCAAATATGATGGTATATCGGGTTCGATTCCAGAAGCAGCACGAAATTTGGAAGGATGAAGAAAAAATTCTCGCAAAGAAGAAAGGTTTTCAATGTGAAGTATGAATAGGGTTTGATGATCAAACAGCCTCTGTATCATATACATCTTTCCTTTGATGATAATCCCCACCACATCTGCTGTCTTTTCTTCTGCTTGTTGCAAGATTTGACACAGTTGCTGGGAAGCTGCTTCTTGATTCACAGCGTTGTCTTTGGCCAGAACAAAGTTGCTTACTTGTAGTTCGATGTCATCTTCAACTTTGAGTGCAAAGTCTCTTATTATGGTTTCAAAATATTTGATTGCAGCAGCACTGGCACTGGATTTCTTTTCCAGAAACTCCTGCAAAGAAGAAAGGTTTGCATAGAAAGCATTGATGGGTGCTTGATCGCCATGAAGAGAAACTCTTGGGATGGGTTGCAGCAGAAACTGAAGCTCAATTGTTGTCTTTAGAGAAGTTAAAGCAACATAAGCCATCTCTATCTTTTTCTGGAAAATGAAATTGCAGCAAGTTTGAGGTAGATCTGTAGAAGAGTGAGTTATGTGAAGCAATTTAAGGGTGGATTTTGATAATAGCAAAAGAGAAAGGCCTTCTGTGTGAAATTGCAACAAAGTGGGCAGGCATGAATGTGTTGGTTATTGGGTGGTAGATTGTAGGTATTAATATATGAATGATTGAATTTTGATAGTCATAAGTGTAGAGTTACACTCACTATGATTGGTTTTTTTGTGAGCATTAAACATGGATCTTCTTACCTAATGAGCAGTTGAGTGATTTGCCTCTCCATTATGTCGGAGTGTAAAGGTCAATATATTGTGGCCACATACACATTACAATAGTCTTATCTCTATCCACATATATATTAGGTACGATAGAGACAGAATACATCAATGGACTCAATGCTATGCTATGCTCTGGCATGCATTATTGACCCTCCTGCTATGCTCCAAAACTTATTTGGTTTGCAATTAATACTTAGTCAAAGTCGCCATATATCAAGCATTTTAACCAACTCCAATTTCATTTTTATTTTATTGTAATCACTTGCGATAACAAAAATAGGTTCAGTCACATGTGTAATCACATTACCGATCTTTTTCCGTGAAGTGAGTCGGGTCACTTGTTTGTTTAATATTTTAATTTTAATATAAATATTTACATGTTTAAATAAGATAGTGGATGCCAACTACCATGTAGTGTGGTGGCATCTCGTTTATCCATCCATGACTAAAAAAAAATTACAATCCTAGGCATGCCATTGCAAAGGAAGGCATGTACTTTTCTTCTTTCATCCTTTTTTACATTGAAGTCTTAGCTAAAAAATCTAGGGTCAAAAGACTTACATGGGAAGATTTTCCCATGAACGGACAATAATAGGACGATTTTGAAAGGTGGACAAGAATGGGAAAATATACTTTGGGACATGCGTTTAGAGTCAGAAACGCATGTCCCGGATGCATATGATCATTTTTTTTTTTTGAAATGATGTCCTTAGACGTAAGTCCGACTTGCGTCTGATGTATAAGGTCAGAAACGCATGTAAGTGGACTTGCGTCTCTCACAACTGTAACATCCATGATTGTGTAGCTAGAGATTGCATACGACATATAGAAGAGATTACTGAATTCACCAACTGTACAGAAACTCACACCAGAATGATGCATCAAGCTAGAATGATATGATGTTGCTACCAAATTTGTCTTGAAAGAAGAAAACGGAACGAGGGCTGTTTAAACTAAACAACAATACATAATAGTCAAAACTATGTTTGCATAAGCTAAACCAACGACAGAAATTTGCAAATGCGTTTAATGACCACTTTGGGCGTTGCTGAGTATTTACTACACATACATAATATTCCCTCTTTCTGAGCCTCTCTGAAACAAATATTATGCATGACATTGTGCACCCTACAAGTCTTAACTTTTCCATCAAATTAAAAGTTCGACTCCTTATTAACACAAGACTTCTATCAATGAGATCCGATCCTTTAAGTAACAATAAGCCATCTTTTCTAACTCTTTATTCCTTGATGGCATCACAAATCCTTCTGCAACCCATAACCTAAGAAGCGTTTTGACTTTGATTTCACTACGCTTTGAAAAGATTCAAAGATATAAAAAGCAAACTTTCAAATATTCTTGCAACTGATTGTAAATGGGTGTGACTTGTGAGTGCACTATGTTGAAATTGAGGGATTGATAGGTCTGGCGGGTGAAGAATAACCACCACCCGCCAGTTAGGCGGAAGCAAAATATGTGAGAACCAAAGAACAAGAGAATATAGAGAATATATTATAATGAAAGATTACAATAAATTGTCTCTCTTAATGTATATTCTATACTTCTATGGACCTCTATATATACTAAACTAGATACTAAATTACTCCTAATAGGAATAGGAAACTACTAATAAGAATAGAAAACTAAGACAACTTTCCTAATATTCAACACTCCCCCTCAAGCTGGAACATCTGAAGTTCCAAGCTTGGATTAAAACAAGCACTCTACCTCACTCAAAATTACAAATGAAAATTAAATGCAACTAGAGGATAACAATGCGAGATGGCTTCGGAGGGACAATGCAACCTTGGGAATGAACACACCAGGGGCAAAGCTTGTCACGAACATCCTTGGGAATGGAGGCACCAAGGGAAAACACGAACAACATCACAACAATATAAGCACTCGAGGATGGATGACTTCAAAAGAGATTGCGATATGTCTGACCCTTCCTTGGGAATGAAGACGAAGGCACCAAGAACGGAGCTGAACACAATCCTTGGGAATAAAGACGAAGACACCAAGGACGAAGCTAAACACGATCTTGGGAATGAACACACCGAGGACGGAACTGAACACGAACCTCGGGAATGAAGATGAACACACCAAGGATAGAGATAAACATGAACAACCTCCCGATAACACAAGAGAGCGGTAGAGACAAAAAGGGAGCAAATAATAGCAAAGGATGCAATAGAGCCCATAGTAATGAAGACAAAATAGCAAAGGATAACACACCGATTGTAGATAGTTACACTCCCCCTTACTTGAAACATGGGAAATAATCAAAGGCCTTTATAGTAGTGCTGAAACTGACCATCCATGGGATAAGACATACCGGAGATAAAGAAACAAACACGGTTATACCAAAACACAAACACCATGGGAAAATGTTCGGCAACAAACCCAAAGAAGCCTTCAAATTTCACCAAAAAGTTGAAAGAAGGGCAAAACAACCATCTGAAAAATCTCGCCGGAGGCAGACTCACGCGCCGGTGCGTGAGGAAGGTCGCCGGCGCGTGACGGCGGCGCTGGCGCGTGAGGACGACGGCGGTGGAGGAAAGCGATGAAATTTTCCAGATAAGGTCGCAAGAGGGAGAGGAATCCATTGGTGTAGGAGGTGAGATCACAAAATCACTGGAGAAGAGGAGATCTGGCCGGAAAAGCGAAAACACTCCCGACGACGGTGGTGGCGCGTGTGGGCGCGTGTGACGGTGAATGGCGACCGGATTTCAAGCGACGGCTCGCGACAAGGTTCCGAGTAAGCCTGTGGTGTTAGTTGCTTTGAACAACAACTAGAAGTGCGTCGGAACGAGAGAAAACAGTGGCGGCAGTGGTTACCCTCCGGTGGCGGCAGCGGCGGCGTAAAGCTAGGGTTTATATTAGGGTTTTAATATTTGAAGAAAAACAGCCTAGGAAAGTAGGCTCTGATACCATGTTGAAATTGAGGGATTGATAGGTCTGGCGGGTGGAGAATAACCACCCCCCGCCAGTTAGGCGGAAGCAAAATATGTGAGAACCAAAGAACAAGAGAATATAGAGAATATATTATAATGAAAAATTACAACAAATTGTCTCTCTTAATGTATATTCTATACTTCTATGGACCTCTATATATACTAAACTAGATACTAAATTACTCCTAATAGGAATAGAAAACTACTAATAAGAATAGGAAACTAAGACAACTTTCCTAATATTCAACACACTATAATCTAGAATTCCCAACAACTCAATTTGTTTTTCAATCTTTTTCAATTCATGTTATATATTGTTTTTGCATTCAGATAAACGTTCAGTAGCTGTAACAATTACCTGTGGTAGTCCTTCACATTTCTCTACAACATTGAACAAATGACTCCTAAAGCTTTCAAACAAGATAATGTTTGCGAATTCATTTTAACCACTCTGGGATGCCTCAAGTGTGTTAACTCCCAAATTTTGGATGGCAAATGAAGTGTATGTAGGAGCTCCAATTTGTGGTTCGATCATCATATCACTAGAAACAATAAATGTATTCAAATTAGGGTTATGTAGCCTCCTCAAATTAAAAATGTCATTTTTCTAATAATACTTAATTGACACTATAAACCTGGTCAAGCCTCTTTTATGGACTCCTGGCTTTAATTTGGACGTTCATCATATATATCACCATTGATTTTGAGCTATATGCAAAAATGGAGAAAATGAAATGGGATTAGATAAAGAAATTAATAGTAACAAATTTTGTAAAGAAACTCAACAACAAATACAATTCAAACAAAAAATTATTAGGAATATTGAATGGTGTGGAATAACCTCAATTCCGTTGTCTCCTCTATCAGGTCTCTTTCCAAAGATTTGCTTGGCACAAGCAATGGCAGAAGGGTTACACCAAAACAACTCAATTGATTTCAGGTTGCTGTGAAGTTCACATTCAAATGATATCTCTTCTAAACCATAACAATATCTTAAGACTAGACGCTCAAGACATGGTAAAACATATTCTTCATCATAAACCTTCAACTGCTTGAGTTCTTTATCTTGAACGAGCAAGAATCTTAAGTTATAGAATTCTCCACCACCCACTTCCCACAGACTTCCCAACAAGACATTTTCAAGCTTGAGCACCTCAAGCCTACACATTGTGCCAATTTCTCCTAAACCTATCCGAGAAAGATTAGTCCCGCTCAACCTCAACTTCTTCAGTTGTGAAGGAAACATAAAAAATTCAGGATAAGTTACAATGCGGCCAACAAATTCAGGATAAGTTACAATGCGGCCAACAGGAACTGAAATTGTTAGGCTCTCAAGCTGTTCCAAAAAGTCTAGTTCATCTAAAATGATGAGATTGCTAGAAGATCCATCAATGTGAGTAGGCTCCGAGTCTTGTTTATAAAAAAGTTTCAATTTTTTAATGTTTGGGAAACTGTAATACACTTTCTTACGACAATGGCATGGAACCACCAAAGATAATGTTTTCAATTTCCCTTCAACCATGCTTGGAGGATCTGCAATATACACATCAGTAAGTTCAAGATGCCTCAATTGTGGTAATTCTGAAATTCTGCATGGAAAATCAGTGGTAGGAGCTCCAATTTGTGATTCATCACCCAAACCAATGGTTAATTCACTGAGAGGATATGGTGGTGGCTCATCTTCAGTCTTATGGATTATGAGCTGTGAAGATCGAAATAATGCAAAAAATGGAGAAAACGAAATGAGATCAAATAAAGAAATTAATAGTACGTAACAAATTTTGTAAAGAAAGCAAGTCAGCAACAAATAAAATTAATTATTAGAAAGTTCTAACCTTAATTCTACCATGCGCCATCCGCTTGGTGGCGAAAGTAACAGCAATAGGGCTACACCTATCCAATTCTATTGACTTTAGGGTAGAAATATCTACAAAACTAGATGGGATTTCTTCCAAATAGCAACAACATCTTAGAACTAGACGCTCAAGATGTTTGAAGGATTTTTCATCAGCCAAAAACTGCAGGAGGTTTTTATCTTTCACAAGCAAGAATCTTAATTCACGGAATCCTCCTTCAACCACTTCCCATACTCTTTCTAGGAAGGCATTTTCAAGCTTGAGCACCTTAAGCTCCGGCAACATGCCAATTACTGTTAAATCTCTCTTAGAAAGATTCATCCCACTCAAACTCAACTTCTGCAGTTGTAAAGGACACATAAATCGTTCAGTATATACCACAGCGCAGCTAACCGAAACAGAAATCTTTAGCCTCTGAAGCTGTTTTAAATATCCAAAATTTTCCAAAATGATGGGATTGCTTGAAGATCCATGAGTGCGATTGAACTCTAAGTCATCTTTATAGAAAATTTTCAGTTTTCTTAAGTTTGGAAACACTTCCATTCCACAATGAGTTGGACTCACCAAGGATAGTGTTAAGTTTCTACAATGAGTTGGACTCACCCAAGATAGTGTTTGCAATTTCGCTTTAACCGTGCAGGGAGGATCCATCGTATACATATCTCCAAGTTCAAGATGTCTCAACCGTGGTAACTTCCAAATTGTGGATGGCAAATGAATTGTAGGTGCTCCAATTTGTGGTTCATCACTGGAAACAATAAGTGTCTGCAAATTTGGGTTTTTTGACAGTATATTACCCAAACCCTCAAACCTCTTACTTATAAATAGGTATCTCAAAAAAATTAAATCACCCAAATGCATTGACACTCTTTGAAGGAATGGAGAAGGAACAAAGGCCAAAACTCTTAACAACTTGAAGGGTACAAAAGTTTTAGGATCTTCATCAAAGAAGAAAATGGAGCGAGGCTTGTTCGAACTAAACAAAACATAATAGTCAAAACTATGTTTGCATAAACTTAACCAACGACTTGAATTCGCAAAATCACTTAGTGGCAATCCTGAATGTTGTAGAGTATTTACAGCACAAAAAATACCCTCTTTCTGAGCTTCTCCAACACAGAAGCTATGCATGGCACTATGCATCCTACAAGTCTTAATTTTGCCATTAGATTTCTGATTGCATATTAAAACAAGTCTTCTTTCAATAAGCTCTTGTAAATATGCATAACCTTGACTTTCTTGCTTTTCAAACTCTAATGGCTCAAAATATCCCTCGGCAATCCATAACCCAATTAGGTTTTTGACTTGGATTTCTTTGCGTTTTGGGAAGACTCCAAGATATAGAAAGCAAACTTTCAAAATTTGCGACAATTTATTGTAATGGAAAATGAGAGTATTGCGATCAAGAATCCCCAATGACTCTATTTCCTTTTTAATCTTCTCCCATTTCTTTAACACGTCGTTGCATTTAGATAGACGCTTTGCAACTACAACAATTGTCAATGGTAGTCCATCACATATCTCTATAATATTGCCCCTAATTTTTTCTAATTCAGGTGATCTTGACATACTCCCCTTAGAAAGGGTACGGCAAAACAGATCCCAACTTTCATTTGGATCTAGCAAAGTCATGCTGTGAATATAGATTTTCAAGCCACTGATGACATACCGATCAAAGTGCGTAGTGGTTACCAATATGCAACTTCCATTGTTGTCTTCAGGAAAACATCCTCGGATATCACCCCAATTATCTAACTGTAAATTATCTAGTACAATTAGATACCTTTTGCCAAGCAAGTGACTCCTTACCTGCACTTGTACTTCTTCAGGAGCACAACTTCCCATTTCAATTTTCTTCTCCGCTGCCGGTGAAAATGACTGAAGGAGGCGCAGCAAATCCAGCAATTGGTTCTTGTTATATTGTTGAGGCATAGTAATCCAACCTCGTACATCAAAACGCTTTCCAACTTCTGGATCTAGGTAGACACTTTTAGCTAAAGTAGTTTTTCCAACGCCCACCATCCCAACAATTGAGATTATTTTTAGAATACCACAAAACCAGAGCTCGAAGATTATCTTTCCACAACTATTTCTAGAATGACTGCCCAAAAGCTTTCGTGAGGATCCATTTGATTTACCATTCTGAGACTCAGAAGCAGGTTTTAGCCAGTGGAGTGGTGGTTGAGCTTCATTATCATCATCACCAGCAACATTATTGCTTATGTTGTCGATAATATTCAGCAACTCTGATGCGTTTTCTGCTGCTTCTTGCAAGGCTAGATGGAGTTGTTGGGAAGCTTTTTCCTGATCCTCTCTGCCTTTGGCAAAAACAAAGTTGCTTAGTTGTATTTCGATGTCGTCTTCAGCTTTGAGTGCAAAGTCTCTGATTTCGATTTCCAAATCTTTGATTGCAGCACCACCACCACTGGATTCCTGTAGAAAGGCTTGCAAAGAACAAATGCTTTCAAAGAAAGATTGGATTGATGGCTGATGAAGAAGAGGCACCCTTGGGAAGGGTTGTAGAAACTCAAGCTGAATTGTTGAGATTAGAGAAGCTAAAGCAACACAAGCCATCTCTCTCCCTCACTCAATTTTTTTTTGTTTTTGTTTTTCTGATCTGTTTGTTCGTATGAGAAATGTGAATGTGACTTTAGGGGAGAAGGGCTGGAGAAATTATTTTAGAGTCAAATAATGCACTCTAGTAAGAGAGTCACATAATAAGCAAGCCTTCTCTCTTTATTGGGCAGGAGAAACTATTTTAGAACATTAAAAAAATTAAAAATTAAAACTCACCAAACACATATTGACCTTTCAGCTATGGCTACTAACTACAATCTTATCTCTATCCCACTATAAACATATACTCCTTGATCAGTTGATTTTGACCCTACACATACGTCAATGTTCTGGCATGCATTATTGACCTTCCAAAATTAAGTCACTATAGATCACTGTTCATGGGACCTTTAGGTAGGTAGTAGTGGAGCCAGAAATATTATTGATGAGTGACAAGTGAAAAATCAAAGCATTTTTATAAATTAAAATCTAATTTTGTTACTGTGAGATATTATTGATTATTACTGTGAGATTTATTGATTATCTCAATAGTCATAGTCATTTGGGCAAGTTAAGGTAAAACTGGAACAAAAGAGCAAGAAGTTGCAATTTTCGCTCATCTTGACCACTGTTCGATATTTAGATCGTATCTCATTCTAAGTAGTTAAAATGAAGTGATTCTTGTGCCATTAGAAAGAAAACTCAAGGGGCTACAACTTTCATAAAAACCATCAAGCCAAATTATAAAGTTAAAGGGGTCAAAATTGGCCTGGAAGTTGAAGTAGAGCTCCAAAGTCCCCAGATCTGCGATTTTTGCACTATTTTATGCATGGGCGCCTGCACACGGGCGTGCATCGCCCATTCACCACCCCCTGTTCAGTTATTTAAGCTCGTTTTTTCCCCTTTCTACTTGGTTTTGGACCCCAACTCAACCCTAGGCAGCTGAGATTGTTTCCTTCCATTTTCCTATTATCATTCTAGGTAGAATAGGTTTAGATTTAGATTTCTTTACATATTTGAAGCTTTTATTGAAGGATTCATACTTGAATTCCAAAATCCTACCTTCCATTGTTAATAGAGAAGTTCTTATTTCCTTTATCTATTTCCAACATTATGACAGTGGTTGTACAGCAAAACCACTGCATGATCCTTCAATAACATCTAAACACTAAACCCAATTAATTTGCAGATAAGTATCTCTGTACATACCAGCTCTCATTGCAGTTAATTCACTATGAGCCTGACCAAGTTGTCTTTTAAGAATGAATCAGGTTGTAGCTTCAAACCTCATCATCTCATGTTGCTCTCTTCTCAAATCTGATTGGCCCGCCGAGCCACTTTTGGGCTTGTGCCTCAACAGATTTCTCCATCTCTTATTCTTTAATTTGTGGATGTACGACTTGAATTTACCAACACCATTATATTCAGGCTACTGGATTTTGATAAATTAAGTAGAAACAGCTTTTGTAAACAAGTTCAGCATCTAATAAAGCAGAAAAAATTAGCAATGAATGATCTGAGGCATAATTTCTAACCTCAAAATTAGCTTTCTCAAATTTTCCAACCCCAACATCTTCATCACACTCTACTATGTTCCCTGATTCATCATATTCAGGGTCCTGGATTTTGATCTATGAAAAAGTAATGCAAAATAGAGAAAATAAATGAGGTTACAAAAATAATTAAATAGTAACATATTTTGCATCGATCTAATATAAAAGAATAAACAAGGCAGAGCTTCTAACCTTAAAATTTGCTTTTCCAAAATTTTTGTTTAGCTTCTCTTGAATATCCTTGGCAGAAGCGACAATGGAAGGGTCGCTACACCTATCCAACTCAATCGACTTCAACAACAAATTTTGTCCAAAACTGCTAGGAATATCTTCCAAATAATGACAACATCTTAGAACTAGACTCTCAAGACATGGGAAGGAATCTGTATAAGCCTCCAACCTCTTGAGTTTTTTAGCTTCAAGGAGCAAGAACTTTAATCGAAAAAATCCTCCTTTAGCTACTCTCCACACTTGTTCATGGAAAGCATTTTCCAGCTTGAGCACCTCAAGACATTTCAATGTGCCAATTACAGTTAAATCCCTTCCAGAAAGATTAGTCCCTTTCAACCTCAGTTTCTTCAGTCGTGAAGGAAACATACACCGTTTAGGAAATGTTACAATGTAGCCAACAGAAACTGAAATCATTAGATTCTCAAGTCGTGCTAAATAGTCCAAGTTATCCAGAATGATGTGTTTGCTGGAAGATCCACCAGTATGTGGCTCTATGTCTTCTTTACACAATATTTTCAGTTTTTTTTATGTTTGGAAAACAGGAATACACTTTATTTCTGCAATGAGTTGGACCTACCCAAGATAATGTTTGCAAATTCCATTTAACCACACTAGGAGGATCAACTGTATACAAAGCACCAAGTTCAAGATGCTTTAACTGTGGTGACTCCCAAATTGTTGGTGGCAAATGGAGAATAGGTTGTGATTCACTGTCACTTCCAGAAATAACAAGTGTCTGCGAATTCACATTAGTTGACACAACATCACTGAGACCCTCAAACCATTGTGTTACAAATAAATATCTAAGAAAAACTAAATCTCCTAAATGCATTGGCACTCTTTGGAGGAATGGGGATGGAACGAATGCCAGAACTCTTAATAGCTTGTGGAGTTCCTGGGAAGCTTTTTCATAATTATTATCTTCTTTTCTGGAACGCTGAAATTCGTTATATTGTTTAGAGATGCCCTCTTTTGCATTGAATGCAAAGTCTCTGATTTTGATTGCAGCAGCAGCAGCAGCACGAAAGTTGGATATCTCTACAAATTCTCGCAGAGAAGAAAGGTTTTCTATGATAGATTCGATGAGTGGTGCTGGAACAAGAAGCTCGTGCGTGAACACAAGGTCATACCGTATCTCCCCAATGAGAGAAGTTAAAGCATCACACGTCGTCTTTCTCTCTGTTTCTCCATCTTTTTCTATATTTGCAATCTTCAATAACTCTGCTGCATTTTCTGCTGCTTCTCCCAAGGTTCGACACAGTTGTTGGGAAGCTTCTTCTTGTTGCTTAGTTGTATTTCAATGTTGTCTTCAACCTCAAGTGCAAAGTCTCTGATTTTGATTTCCAAATCTCTGCAGGGTGCACTGCCAAATTGGAATATGTCTAGAAATTCTCGCAAACAAGAAAGAGTTCCGAAGAAAGATAAGATGGGTGGTGGTTCATCATCATCATGAAGAAGAAGGGACACCCTTGGGATGGGTTGCAGAAACTGAAGCTCGAGTGTTGCCATCAGAGAAGTTAAAGCAACATATGCCATTTCTCTCTCTCTCTCTCTCGTGATTGCTTGTATGAGAAATTGAAATTGCAACTAAGGTTTAGGGTTTAGGGTAGAAGAGAAGAAGTTGAAGATGGTTGTGATAATGGTAAAGGAGAGCGAAACCTCGAAAACTCAGGCACGTTAGCTACCGTGAACGGCGCACCATCACCATCGCCATGTGCCCAGCTTGCGATTATTCAATCCATTTTGGGTCGAATCAATCAATATCTTCCAGACATTTTTCAATTTTATTTATGAGTCATTCTAGAAGTACTTCCCACTTTTACTCCCAAATAAGGTGTCATTATCTTTTATTAAAAAAAGAAAAATAATTTCTGTGGTTTAAATTACTCCAATTTGTTTACTTGATCTCAGCTCATTTCTTTTTCCTCTTCTCTCAAATATTGTCTACTAAACCATTGAGCTAAGTTCATTTCTCTCTCATTTGTCTCTTTCCCTCTCTTCTCTCTCTGTTTCTTCTCGTCTCTTTATCTCCCTCCTCCATTTTCATCCCATTTCCTCTCCGTACCTTCCTTTCTCTTTCTCTCCAGTGCGTCCCGATATGCTGCTGTTGTTGTCTCTCTTCTACTGCTTTCGACAGTTGAACCTTCTTCGGCCTTCCTTTCTATGTAGGACGAAACAAAGGAAATTCGAAAATAATTGAAAACAACCAAGATAACTTTTGTTTTGTATTCTTCAATGATCAACCAAAGGCTTACGACCATGCTTTATATAGAAGACTTACAGAAAAAGAGAGAATTAACTCAAAGATGGTGGGAATAGTAAACATCACATAGGAAAATAACAATACTTGGAAAATAAAATAACAATAAAAAAGAAAGCAGATGCATGCATGTAGCAGCCAACACATAAAGGAGATATGAATAAGTTTTGATGCTGGTTGTCTACACCATCATTCTCCCCCACCGGAGGAAGAACCCATCCTCGAGTTACTGGCTTCTGGATATAGCGGGATATCAGCAGAGTGAAACTTGAATAAATCAGCCACATTGAATGTTTTTGAAATTTTCCAAGCATCTGGAATATCCACCACATATGCATTGTCATTGATTTTCTTTAAGATTTTGTAAAGGGCATGCTTCTTCAGAGAGAGTTTATGATAGTTACCCACAGGAAGTCGTTCTTTTCGGAGATAAACCATGACATTTTCCCCAACTTGAAAGAGTTGCTCACAACGTTTCTTGTTTGCACCAGCTTTATATTTAGCATTAGAGGTTGCCAGTCGGGTTCGAAGTTCTTCTTGAACAGATTGGACGTGGTCTGCCATGGATCGGAGTCTGCCACCTTGTGTGCTTTCTCTGCAGGAGGTAAACTGGGGAGGTCAACAACATGTTTTGGAGTCTTCCTATAAATAACAGAAAATGGGGAGCGACCAATTGATACATGAACGGAACTATTGTAAGCAAATTCAGCCTGAGCCAGAGCGAAGTCCCAATGTTTAAAGTTGCCGCTGCAGATATAACGAACAAGATTCCCAAGAGTGCGATTAGTGACCTCAGTCTGGCCATCAGTTTGTGGGTGTGCGGTGCTACTATATTTCAAACTTGCATCAAACCTCTTCCACAAAGTAATCCAAAAATGTGACAGAAACTTTGCATCACGATCTGATGTGATTGAGCGTCGAACACCATGAAGGCGCACTACTTCCTGAAAAAAATAATCGGGCAATATGAACAGCATCAGAAGTCTTCCAGCATGGAATAAAATGTGCCATTTTTTAGAATCGATCAACGACAACAAAGACAGAGTCCACCCCATGCTGCGTTCGTGGCAGTCCTAGTACGAAATCCATAGATAGTCTTCCCAAATATCCTCAAGTAGTGGCATGTACAACCCCGTGTTTTGTGAGTGCCCCTTAGATGCTTGGCAAACTGAACAACGCTTCACAAATAGACCAACATCTCTTTTCAATTGAGGTTAATAAAATCGCTCCTCTACAGCAGCAATAGTTTTGTCTCTCCTAACATGACCACCAAGTCCGCTAGCATTCAAATCCCGAATGAGTTGTTCTCTTAATGATGTTTGTTGTATGCACAATCGGTTACCCTTGAAAAGATAGCCATCTGAAATATGAAAATCTTGTGAGCAATCATGAAGCAGAGCTTGTCTCCATATGTCACTAAAATCGTCATCTTCTTCATATAGGTTCTTTAGGATGTCAAACACAATAATCTCACCCTGTAATGTGATTAATAAGCTCCTTTTTTCTACTGAGGGCATCAGCAACACGATTGGCTGTACCTAATTTGTGCTGAATGTGGAATGAAAATTGCTCAAGATACGATGCCCACCGGGTATGCATTTTGTTCAAGTGTTTCTGGCTGCGAAAATATTTCAAAGCCTCGTGGTCTGAATAAATTAGGAAGTCACGATGCAGCAAATAATGAGCCCATGTACGCAAGGCTCGAACCACTGCATAAAGTTCTTGCTCATATGTAGACCACTGTTCCCGTGTCGTACTCAAACGTTCACTATAGAAAGCAATTGGCCTTCGATTTTGAGATAATACAGCTCCAATACCTTTGCCACTGGCATCACATTTCACTTCAAAAAGTTTAGAAAAATCCAGTATGGCGAGAACAGGTGTTGTAGTGAGCTTATTTTTTAGAATTTTAGTTCTGCAAAACTTTTCTCAACAGCTTCACCCCAATGAAATCCACTCTTTCGTAAACAATATGTTAAGGGTGCAACAATGGAACTAAAATTTCTAATAAACCGTCTATAAAAACTTGTTAATCCAAGAAAGCTCCAAATTTCACTCACAGTCTTTGGAGTTGGCCAGTCTTTAACAGCTTGCACTTTACCTTCATCCACTTGGATTCCTTCATATTTAATGAAACCCCCCTCCCCCCCAAAAAAAAAAAAAAACCAATTTAGTAGTCAGAAATGAACAGTTTTTTAAATTGGCATAGAGTTTGTGTTCTCACAGGGCATTTAAAACTATCCTCAAATGATTCTCATGTTCAGCACGACTTCAACTATAAATCAGAATGTCATCGAAATACACAACGACAAATTCCCAATGAATGATTTCAAGACTTGATTCATAAGCCGCATAAAAGTGCTTGGGGCATTGGATAGCCCAAACGGCATAACGCGCCACTCGAAGAGACCATCACGCGTCTTGAAAGCTGTCTTCTATTCATCTCCTGGCTTTATTCGAACTTGGTGATAGCTACTCCTTAGATCAATTTTTGAAAACACTGCTGCCCCATGGAGTTGGTCTAACATATCATCAATTCGCGGGATTGGGAATCTATACTTGACTGTTATTTTGTTGATGGCGCGACTGTCAACGCACATCCTCATGCTGCTATCTCTTTTTGGAGTAAGAAGAGCAGGCACAACACATGGACTCTTGCTTTCTTGAATAAACCCCTTATTTAACAACTCATCAATCATCTTATTCAAAGCTTCATTTTCAGCGGGGCTCATGCGCTAGTGTGGAAGGTTGGGCAAACATGAACCTGTGACCAAATCTATTTGGTGTTGGATATCCCGTAGAGGTGGTAAGCCGTCAGGGAGGTCCTCAAGCACAACATCAGAAAATTCTTTTAACAAGGAGTGGAGCTCACAAGGTATGACATTAGTTTCAAAAATATGTTCTTTGGCAACCAATACCATAATAATTTTGCTTTTCCGGGCTTCATTCAAAAATTCCCTCCATCTGTTTGATAATGTGATGGCACACGTTCTTTTATCTTTGGCTTCGTCCCATGTGGCAGGTGGAATAACTATCTTTTTATTATTCCAAAGAAATTCATAAGCATTCTGTCGTCCGCGATGAGTTGCATCAACATCAAATTGCCAAAGCCTACCAAGAAGAATATGGCAGGCATCCATGTCTATAACTTCACACGCAATTATATCTTCGTAGCTCTTCCCAATTGAGATAGGGACATGGCAAATTTCTGTAACAGAGACCGATGGGCCCTCTTTGATCCAACCTAACTTATACGGCCTTGGGTGTGGCTCAGTGCGGAGATTGAGGTGTCACACAAGAGACCGAGAAACAATGTTATCACAACTCCCATTGTCGACGATGAGTTTGCACAGTACACCTTCCCCAGGATACTACAATATGCCCGAAAAATTATTACTGTGTTAGACTGGCCATTTTTCTTCAGTTGTGTATAAGATCCTCTTGATGACAAAACTTACATGCTCACCACCCTCTTCAGCAAATTCAATGTTCTCATTACATTCTTCACTTTCAGTAAGGTCATCAGTATTCTTGGCAACCAAGCTAACCGACCGTCGCGCCCTACATTCATTTGAACGGTGCCATGGCTCCCCACATTTGAAACACTTACCCGTCATGGGCTTGGCATAAGGATTCGGTACTGCACTCCGTGTGGGTTGCTCATTATTTTGTTTTTATGGAGGATTCCTTAATGAAACTGCATCATTGGATGTTGTCGGCTGGGGTGAGATAGGAATAGGTCGGTTGGAGGTGTTACCTTGCATGGGTGGTACTGAAGGTCCTCGGGGAACAGAGTTGGAATACTGCCTTCGTTGGCTAGATTGCATGAAAATATCCTCTGCTCGTATTTCCATGTTAAATGCTTCATCCATAGACCAGATAGGTGTTAATATCATTTTCTCACGAATATTAAATCTCAACCCGTTGATATATCTGGAAGTCTGTTGTTCTGGGGTTTCAGAGAGATTACAACGAGCTCCCAAACGATAAAACTCCTCTGTGTATTCGTTCACGCTTCGGGATCCTTGTGAGCATTTTTGGTACCTTTGAAATAATTGTTGTTGATAATCAGGGGGTAAAAATATTCCTGACATGAGCTTCCTCATTTTTCTCTATGTGGTGATTGCCATTTTCCCTTGCCTCCTCCTGTTATTTTGAGTGACCTCCCACCAAGCAGCAACTCCTCCGCGTAATTTATGGGCAACATATTTAGCTTGGCGGTCCTCAGGAATATCTAGCATGTCAAAGTATTTTTTAACCTCGTAACACCAATCAAGGAAGGCTTCTACGTCCAAATTTCCATTAAAACATGGTAAATCAGCCTTTGGCCAATAATGGTTTTGTCTGTGAACTTGGGCACCTTGATTTTGGAGTTCATCTTCAGAGTCACTGCTATTTGTATCGCCAAAGGGTGGGTTTCCCAACGGTAAGACTCCATGTGCTCTTCTACCCGGAGGTTGGTGCCTTCTTTGGGGTGCGGCCACGGGGGCTTCACCATTTCCATTATCGAGTCTTAAGCATAAGTTGGTGAGGATGTTGCGAATTTCTTGAAACTCGCGGTTAACATTATCTCCTTGTGTTTGAAAAGCTGCCCAAAGAGCATCAAGTCCACGGTCACCACTCGTGGTATGATTGTTTCCTCCGTTGTTGCTAACATGTGCCATTATAGGACCAACGAATAGAGAGGAAAATTCGCTATCTCGTTCGTAGCCCAAGAAATTAATGGCTCTGATACCAAACTGATATAGGACGAAACAAAGGAAATTCGAAAATAATTGAAAACACTCAAGATAACTTTTGTTCTGTATTCTTCAATGATCAACCAAAGGCTTACAACCATGCTTTATATAGCAGACTTACAGAAAAAGAGAGAATTAACTCAAAGATGGTTGGAATAGTAAACATCACATAGGAAAATAACAATACTTAGGAAATAAAATAACAATAAATAAGAAAGCAGATGCATGCATGTAGCAGCCAAACATAAAGGAGATATTAATGAGTTTTGGTGCTGGTTGTGTACGCCATCACTTTCCCTCCGACGTATACAGATCTGTGAGCACGCAGCAGCTTTTCGACAAGCTTCCTACGACGAGCCTTGAATTTCCGGCGGTATCATAGTGGTGATGAAAGGCGACGACAACTACCCCCTCTCCGGCGGTGGAAGCGTCAAGCCCGCTTTATAATAAGGTCGTTTGGGTTTGAGGTTCTTGGTTGACCAAGGATATTAACAAGAGGGGAGTGAATAGGAGGGCAATTTGAAAGTAAAAAGGGAAAATGAAATCAAAGGAAAGGGAAACGGGCTCGAATTATGTTTTGATTGCATTGCACGGGTGGCCATACCAAAGGTTGAGTGATTAGAGAGTATTTTGACACTAGGCAAGATGAATGGCGTCGCTAGTGCGTAGCCAATCCGGTCTATACGCCTCTCGTAGGAATTCTCATTCTCTGCGAGGCATTTTATCGAACACCTTGCCTACATTCCTTTCCAATCCTTGCCCTCTCGGATCGAAGGACAGGAACTGCAAGAGAAGGGGTTAGGATTGTGTCTCAATCTCTTGACAACACAATCATTCCTAGATCTACAAGCATGTGGTGCACTCACATACAAGAGTCTTAACAAAATTACTCTTCCAACAAGTCACACATGCCAACAACATCCAAAATCACAAAATCACAATACGAATCAATCAAATGCAATCTAAACAACAATCCTTGCCCCTAGAATTTTAGCCAAGCATAATAAAGACCAAGATCAAGAAATAAGGAAATGGATGAAATGCAAAAGATAAGTAAATAAGAATAAAGTTTATATTTCACCAAATCCAAGCTAGATTCCTTCAAAATGGTAGTGAGAAATGAGAGATCCAAGTTATAGAAACTCTAGACCTTCAATCTTCCTTCCAAAGTATCTAGATTTGAGGCTAAAACCCTAGAAAGAGAAAATGTAAACTAGCCTAAACCTAAAGCTACCTCTAAGAAACTTCTCTCTAGAATTGTTGAAAATCCCCCCTCTCCAAATGCTGATTTTTGCCTTAAGTATTCGCCACCCTATTCACGCATCGTGAGGCCGGCGTGAATAGGCTATAAGCCTTCCGCATTGAAACCTTCTCGGCCGCTTCTATTTCCCGTTCACAGGGCCCTCACGCCGTGAGGAGGGGCGTGAATGGGAAATAATTCCCATTCCGTCCTTCTTCTCGTGCGTAGTCCTGGTGCGCTTGGTCCTTGTTCGGGTACTTTTCTCGACCTTGACCTTTTTGACCTTTTTGCCACGTTTTCTGTCTGAAAATACCTGAAAATAAATAAAATGTAATCGGGAAGGTATTTCTATGCTAAGTTGTACTTTAAGGATATTTTACTCTAAAAAACACGACTTCTAACTCAAAACTAGTGCACAACTCCTTAGAAAAAACTACTAAAAACCTAGCATATTTTGAGGTTGATCAAATAGTCATAGTAATGCAAGCATGTCTTACATTTTGTTGGGGAACCATGTAAAATCCTTGCAAACGCATCATCGGGCTTGTTGTTACAAAACTTTCTTGTGTCCCCATTTCATCGACTTTATGAGGAGATGATGGAATAGGTACACAATCAATATCATCATAACTTATAGAACTCTACAACATTAAATAAATGAAGGAGTGAATATAAACTATTTGATCAAATATAAACAAAGGGAAAATCAACGATTTGGTCCCTCAATTGTTAGCGAAATATCAATGTAGTCCCTTAATCGCGTAATCATCGATTTAGTCCCTGGAAATAACTGTTTTTAGTTGATTTAGCCCCTCCGACCGTACTCCGTCCAAAACCCGGCGATAGCTCCGATTTTCCATGGGTAATTCTGTCATTTCACTTCTTTAGTCTTCTTCTCACCAGGGCCGA